AGAAGACGAACCAGACTACCAGTCCAGGCGGAAGGAAGATGACAACGCCTCACCCAGTCGCCACTTCTTCCTCTGGCGGATCCCAGCACGGGCGGCCGCCCCCCCTGGCCGGGTGCTGGGTCCGCCACTGCTTACAGACTTACTTTACCAATACTAATAAATCAAATGATACTAAATGAATTATGAGTGTTTTCTTTGTTTGAACACCTCGTCTTTATTTTGATAATTATCGACACTTTTATTTACAATTTGCATTTTAATATAAATAAATAATAAACTTATTTAATTTAGTAAGACAATGGTCTGGACTAAATAAATGCCAATGAAGTGGGACTTTTGGCACGTTGACTTCGTGTACGATTAGGGACATCTCCACTTACCATCCTTAAAATAAGTTGCTAACCTCCCATTGTTTTCTTGCGCACATTAAATTATTAAATGTATAAACGCGTTGCCTAGATTTGTCATTATGTGATCCTGATATTTGAATATTACGTTTTATGTTATTAATGCTTCTCATGGCGTATTCATGCATGTCAATGCATCCATAAGCATACATGATATTTCAAGGAATAAATTGTTTCCAAATGTCATGACTCAACGAATGTTTTAGAAAGATATGTATCCCGAATGTTATTGTTATAAGATGTATGTCTATGCCATAAAGGTGTGATTGGGAAATGGGGCGTGTGGGACCGATGCACCCGACCAATGTTCAATGATGAATGTTCAGTGTTAATGTTAACCGCTTTGCAGTACTATCGGTAGATTCGATCGGGTTTCAAATGACATGGCTCACTGCATTCTGATTGGCTATAGGCGATACATCAAGTGAGCTCACGACGTCAACGTTTTTAAAGAAATGAAAGGATTGGGATACATATTGAGAAATGTCTGTTGTTTTTAGAGTAATTTATATGCATATCATAAGCATGCATCATATGCATGATGTTTGCTATCCCTCCACATTTTCAGATGGTGAAGGCAGGATGATGAGAGGTGACGACTTGTGGTGCGATGGACTTAGTACTAATACATTCGAATATCGACTTCTTTTAAAAATTAAAGTTAACATTTAATTTTATTATTTTTCTTTTAAGTGCAAAAGTTTTCTACAAGTTATGTTCGAAACTGAAGTCAATGATGTTCATTATTTTAAGGAAAAATTTAATTCGCTTCCGTATTACGATTTTAAGAGAAAGTAAAATGATATTTCTTCCAAATTTAGACCTAAATTTGGGTTGTTAAGGTTTGATATCAGAACGAAGAGTTTTAAAATCGATTATGTAGACTTAAAAAGTGATTAAACCTAATGTGAATGCTTGTATTGGAATCGTGTATCCCCCTATTTTCATTTATTCCAATTCTCAATAATTATTATATTCAATTCATGTATTTTTGACAGTCGATAAAACTAATATGTTAAATGTTTTTTTCCAAGATACACTAACCTATAACTAACACGACACGATCATATTTCTAATCCGAGTTTATATGAAAGTCATATATTTGGTTTAGATTCTCAATAACATCGCGTGTGTGAAAGCGATTATTTCTAATTCTAACTACACATGTTGATTTTATCACGTTATAAATTTATTGTGAGTATTCATACACTATAACGAAAAAGTAACTGATTATAAACACCCTGTTTTGGAGCATATATTTGTCAACCGATAATTTTTTCCCTACAACTAATGGTTCNGTTAAATGTTTTTTTCCAAGATACACCAACCTATGACTAACACGAGACGATCATGTTCCTAATCCGAATTTATATGAATATCATGCATTTTGTTTAGATTATCAATAAGATTCCATGTGTGAAAGAGATTATTCCTAATTCTAACTACACGTGTCGATTTTACAACGTTTTAGACTTATTGTGAATATTCATACACTACAACAAGTAACTAACTATTTAATTGGTGATCAAGCAATAAGTAGCGCAATTGGTATGTAAAATCAATCAAATAATAACACAAAATTCCTAAATTGAAGTCTTGAACTAAAATAAATAAAAATAGTGTTCAACATTCATCCAATGATTATTTTAGATAATCTTAGTTTCATTTTTTTATTAGAACTAATGAAATTTCGTAGAATTTCTCACTTAAAAAAAATTGAAAAAAAAAAAATTAAACGGGGCGGGACACCAGTACCCACGGGGCAAGTTATCGCCCCATCCCCAACCCGGACCCGAATAAGGTAAATGGAAGTTTTCCTTTATACCTCCATTTTCCTCTGCTTGGTTCGCCATCCCCATCCTAGAATGAAGAGTCTGCAATTAAGGTATTGGGGAAAAAAAAAAAGGAAAATGCCATGCGTACATGGCACTGTTCCTACAGGCCCTTCACTGTGTGGAGGGCTCCACAAGTAAAAAAAAAAAATCTGCGCGGGCCCCACCCGCGTGTCTGTCCTGGCATGGACTTGGGAACTAATAAAGAGACCCACGATCCCGTAGAAAGACATCACGTTCTGTGCGGGCCCCACCCGTGTGTCTGTCGGGTTGAGAGAGGGAATGTGTAAACTTTAAAAAAAAATTGATATATTTCTATGTGACCTTACAATGAAATGAACATTGTAATAAACCAG